GAATCGAGACCCAACGCCCGCGACTTGCACCATGTCGTTGTACATTTGCTCCATGGTGCGCATTGCCTCCATTTCTTTTTGGAGTGCATCAAAATTCTCTTTGGTAGGAGCTGGGGCTGCTCCTCGAGCGGTTCTCCTCGAGGCACCACCTCGGCCCCGATTGGCCTTGGACGGTTTTCGATGTACCGGTGGCAGAACAGGCGTGGTGATGCGTGCCAACCTACGGAGCGGCTCAGCCCCAAGGCCTTCATAAATCTGGCCCTCTGCCACTTCTGCTCCGACCTCCGTCTGATGACCATTATTGGCAGCCAAAGCTCTTCGGTCTGTTGTATTGGTTGAGTTTGCTGGTTGAACCATCCTTGTTCACGCTTTTTAGATCGGGATGACTTAAGATGTCGCTCCCCACAGACGGCGCCAAATGTTTGGGCAAAGAATTGCACCACACTATTTAACGAATCAAGCTCAAACCCGGCCCCCGGCTCGACCTAACCTCAAGAGCGAACCTGCACATGAGGGCAAACACTCCGACGCTCAAGTTGGTATAGGTCGGACTCAATATTTAGCTCGAGGTGAGATTCGATACCTGAGCGTGAAATGAGGCCCTCTATTTATAGGTGGTGGGTCCGACAGTACTCACAACCGGCAGTTACTTTTGTCCTTTTTTATGTCGAACCTGTCGGGTTTGAGCAGATCGAAACCGTCCAGGTCGGACCGAGGCTTTTTACACTTAGCCCCCACGATGGGTGAACCCAGTGTCCTCGGCAGGTTCGAGGTGGACTTGGTGATACCTTATTCCTTAAGCACCAATCAACGTCTTCCACGTGTCCCAAGTATTTTTACCCCCAAACATTACTAAAAGGGGAAGACCGAAATACTCCCTGAAACTGAGCTGAGACCAGCCAAATAAAATAATCAACTAAATACTCTTGAACCGACATGAGGATACCGACCTCATATCCGACAAATCGTAACCGTCCCAACCTCCTATCCCAACAGCTCTAATGGATTTGTCTCCCACCCTCTACAAAAAGAATGTCATAGCTTCTCCGACTCAGGTACGCAATTATGTCTAAGAACGACCTACTAAACTTGAATTCTTACTTACTTGAGCATCGGACTGTTTGTTCCTTATGTGCAGGTTACTCATTGTCCAGCTTATTCCTCCATAGTTCGATTGGGTTTATCGAAAGCCGATAGTTTGGCAGAATTCAGCATCAACACCTCCCATAATCTACATAAATTGTTGCAATCACATGCTCAACTTTTAATTTTATTGAGTATTTTCTTCAACTTGCGAAATTGTTGCAATTAAACCCTTAAATATTGCAAAATGTACCAACCATCCTTAAACCATGAAAAATATTATAATCAAGCTCTCAGGCTATAAAATTGGCCGTTACAATGTAGCCTAAGTTTTGTTTTCGATTCTATAAAAATTGGAAGCTACACTATTCACCGTAGACCAATAGACAATTTTGGTTTTCATATCGTGCGAAGGTGATAACTTGATTTTAAAAAAATGATATAAAAATTTTTGGGTGGATTTGATTGTAACAATACTTTAGTATAAGAAATGTAAGTTTTTCGAGGCGATGGATCAAATTGAAAATTTAAGAGGATTCCAACGACTTCTATATCTTAAAGGTGAGATTTACTAAAAAAAATTTGGGAGCAGATGAGTTATAATAATAAAAATAGCAATAATAATAATAGTAATAAAAGGAAAGTATGGTGGATGGTCGAAAGGCTAAGAGACTATTTGTTTTGTAGGAATCCAACATTCTCTTCAGACATGTATCTAGATCCCCACGTTTGTTTTGCAAATATAGGATATTTGGGTATCTCAAGATGCTCGGGTGTACTAATAAGATGCCCACACGGGAGACATTTGAATTGTTTTTTATGCTCTTTTGAAACATGGATTTTCGAGATTCCCATGTGGAGGGTATCATCTTTTTAAAGTTTTGCGCTTTATTCTATTTTCATATATATTATTTCATCAATTTTCTATATTTTATTTTTAATTTTATAATTTAAATAAATAAACATACTCATTAACTAATAAACAACTTGATTTAAATTAAGCATATTTATATCTAAAATAAACTTCAATTAAATTATATAATATCTCAATTCATTTATAATATTTAGAAGGAATGATTATCAATAATATTTATTATCTTAAATATATAATTTTATCGATCAATATACAGTTGATATTTTTCTTCTTAAAAAATATAATTCGATATTATAATAAATAAATTTCACCTCATATAACATTAATATACATTTTTATTTTTGGAAAAATATTAAAATTTAATATAAAATTTATATTTAATATTAATTATTAAAAAACTTAAGGAATTCTACAAAATAACATACAAAAATTAATATATTTGGAATTAATATAAAAAATAAAATATTAAATTAATAAAAACGAGTATATTATATAAATATAAATTATATTCAATTAATTTTCCTACAAAGCAAACGTGGCCATCTGATGATGTTGAACATCTAAAATTTTCGAACATCTAAATTTCAGGCATCTAAAGATGCGAGACATTTACCTCTAAAAAAACAAACTACTTATAAGATGTCTGAGATTAAGATGCCTGGCCTGAGAATAAAATGTCCGAGAATAAAAAATGTGTTTGGTGGTATATATGATTGGAATTAAGATAAATATATATATTTTGTGTGATTATTCTAAAATATTGATTAATAATTAATCAAATTTAATTTAAAATAAATAATATAAATTAAATTATTTTAAGTTATTAATTATTTTACATTAACCTTATAAATTTCAAATTTGAGTTATATTAACAATTTAACCCAATGTCAATTGAATGATTAATAATAAATGTTATTTAACTAAAATCCAGTATATACATATTTAGCAAAAAAAATATTAGTGTATAAAGTATTTAAATTAACCAAAATTAACTTCCAATAATTAATTTATTAAAAATATTTTTAAGTAATTATGTTTTAATTTAAGTTTATTATAAATAATGTATCTAAATTTATATTGTTTCTTTCAATTATTCTTAATAACCATCATAAAAAGAAATGTGTTTAACAAAACTAATCACTTTCGTCCATTTAATTGCTTATATTTTTGACATTTCTTTATTAAAAAAACTAAGTATAAATTAATTTGTTACAATAGATTAATTAATATAGTATATTATTAGCAAAATCTTAATATTGTTTAATTAATTATAAATTTAATTTAAATATCTTAACTAAATTCAATTAATCAATTTTAATAAAACAAAGTACACAATCACATTAAAAAGGAAACAAACTCATTGAAAATAAGAAATAGGACATGACACAAAATCCACGGACAAACCCATGAAAATAGAAGAGCAAAGAAACCTCGTAAGAGTAATAATTGATGTGAATCAAATTCCGAAGCAAAGTATTTAAATACATATACCAAACATGGGTTTAGTTTGTCTATGTCAATTCCTACCCAACAAAACTTCCAACAAATAGAAGGAGAAACCCATAAAAATAGAAGGGCAAAGAAAACCTGTAAAGAGTAATAATTGATGCTCGGGAATAAGTGGGTTTTCAAACAAAGTATTTAAAATTGTGTACCAAACATGAGTTTAGCTTGTATATGCCCATTTTCACCCAACAAAACCTCCAACCAAATGGTTCCTAAAGGAAATAATTATGAGATTAAATCGTCGTGATGGGAAAAATTCATTTCACTCGCGTAACTAAAGAGAGTAAATTTAAATGTATTATAATGTTAGATCCACATGCTCACACAAATTTAAACACTTAAATTAATTAACACGATAAATCTGAACAACACGTGAGATATACATGTCCAAGATATAGACAAAAACTATAATTATAAATATAATGCATCTACTTTCCACCACACACAGGAGGAGAACTTATTTACGCAAAGTGCATGAGATAGATGAATTTTGAACTTCTTCAACACATATAACAACCATGGAGAAAAAGGTAAATACATGCTTTTATTATTGGAAAAATGGAAAGAAAGAAAAATTGAAATGCAAAAGTAAGATCTTGCATATGTATGTATGGTTAAGGATCTCACATTATTGGTAAAAAAATGGACGTTACGTAGATTTATAATAGATTATAGTATCAGAGTCTAAAAACACTCATGGGATCCGATCAAAATTGATAAGTCAAAAGAGCCATGATTTTGAGAGGGATGTTACTTTACATAGATTTAGGAGTGCATTTAAAAAAGACAAAATAACAAAGGGAAAAGCAAAAAAAAACATCTAAAAGAGAATTAGATTACCAAACTCAGGCTATCCAAACATAGGTTACCCAACCAGCGCCTCAAAGGCTACTCAAATCCAGACTATACAACACCCCAACATCAATTCAGGCCACTGATGCCGAACCCGTGGACCAAACACCCTATAAAAGAAGGATAAATACACTCTAAATTGATCTCTTGTTTTGAATTATTCCATTTTTTAATATCTCATGTACACATAACAAAAAACCTCAGTATTTATTTTTTTGATTGGATGTTATATATGTTCACTTATTTATTTATATTTTCTAGATTCATGATATCTATTTTCTTTTATTGAGTTGAAAAATTACAGGGTAGACAAGTAAACTATATATTTTTGGAATGGTAATAAGTGTCTCAACGAGCCAAGGAAGTTGATTTATTAATTATAATTTTTGTGTTTTATCGTTGTAAAGCAATCATAAAAAAATATTCATATTAGAAACTTAATATTATAATTGTAACAAATATGCATTCTATTATGTCATAAACGATATATATATTTTATAAGTTAAAATAGTATTTTGATCTTTCTACTTTAAGCTTTAAGCTTCGGTTCTGTACTTTTGAAACATTTATTTTGGTCCCTACAAAACTTTGGTTCATGTTAATCCCTGTACTATRAAAATATTCAATTTGACCTATGTATTTTCAAAAAGTGATTATTTTAGCCTATCTTCATAAAATTTTAACACAAATTTTACACATAATCAAAACTCTTTAGTATAAAGAAATATTTACATTTTAAGAAATATATTAATTTTAGTGTCGTGTTGAAATTGAAATTGAAGAAATGAGCTTAAGAATAAAATTAAGAAATCAAAATCATTATTTCTTCAAAATACTGAAACCAAAATAAACATTTTGAAAATATAAAGCTAAAATGAACCAAAGTTAAAGCACAGGAACCAATATGAACATTTTAAAAGTACAAAGACCAAAATGAACTAAAGCTGACAATACAAGACTAAACTACTCTTATAACAATTTTCTCTACTTAAAACAATGTTTACATAATACAATAATATTTTCTAAAATGGATTTTTAAAGTTACCTATGAAATATATTCATCATGAAAAACAAATATACTAATGATAGACAATAATAATGATAAAAAAAAAATCCTGAAAACACTTATCAATGATGATATTGATCTAGAATAAACTCGTTTATTTTTAAGCTCAAACATGCTAATTTGATTTTTAAAAAATAGTGATATCAGACAACTAAATACAATATACATAGAATTAAAATATATATATTTACTCATAGTTTGGACCAAAAACAAACCTTTTGTTCAAATATAGTTGCAAAGAAAGAACCATCATGCAATCATAGGAACTAGTAAAATTAAAACATAGAAACAAATCATATGAACCATCTATTGTAACATAACTTAAGATTATCACAAGACAAAGGAGTAGAAAAAATTGAATTAAAGGAAGTGTGTGATAAATGCAAGCTAAAAATAACAAGATTACTTTAAATCATCACAAAAAGATTACAATTTTTTAACATCCCAGAAAATTCAAGTCTCTGACATTTTGATCAATAATATATATCTTAACCAGTAGAACTATGCAAGTTCGCCGTAAAAGAGTCCAATTCGACTAAATCTATTAAAAACATAGCTTAAAATTATCCCCTATCACAACCTTAAATTTAAAGAAATAGGAGTAGAAAGCATAAGTAAAATGATAAAGAATCATGTTAGATTATTTTAATTTATTTTTTATTTTTTGAGTTTAACAATTTGTACAAAAGCTTTTCCAACTATCACCATAACAAGATTAAAACTAACACAAGAAAATTCAACTCGAGATAAATAGGAAGAATAAACTCTAAAATTGCAACTTAAGAAAATTAAGAAATATGTAAAATGAATATCTACTTGGGATGAGTTTGAGATATCTTGAACAAAGTTTTGAAGTGAAGCAATTCTGGGAGAGAAGAACTAATTAAATACTCCATGTGAAATTGTTTTTCTACCCATCTTTGAAATTGTAATCAAATACTCTCCATTAAAAAAAATGAAAACTTTAGTTTCACTTTAAAAGACATTAACACGCATTTTTTTTTTAATATTCGTGTATTCGGGTCTGCTTGCGCGCACCTCGACTAATCACGGGTCAATCGCCTAACCCTACTACATTTGATTGACAAGGAAACTCGTACGATATTAAATCCTAGGTAGGTGGTCACTATGGAATGCGTTAACACGCTCTTAGTGCTATTATTCACAAATCATCCAAATCTCTACCTCATATCCTAATATCTTGGAAAGATCCAAAAGAAAAAACCTTACTCCACAATGGAAAAATGACGAAAATCACCCTCTGGAGGCTACAACTATTATCTAGCTTCCCTAAACCTTTGAGTTCATTATCAATACTGATATCTTACCCTGTGGCATTGGTTATTTATCAGTGTCATTCTCAATTCCAAAACAAAACATAAACACTCCACTGAACAAACTTCAATGGAAGTCCAAGTGGAAGTGAACATCAGTAGAACAAATAAATGGGATTTACAGTATTCTGCTCTTTTGACAAAGTTTCTGTTGCTAATAAGGTTAGAAATGCATCGCCAAAAAAATTGTCTAAAAGTTCAATCATTATGTTGAAAACTACTAGGAAAACGAACCAGTTCACACCTGTGCTTTCCAGCAAATGTCTATCGTCGTCTAACAGCGGAAGAACCCGGTCCGCGCTGTACTGCAGCGGTTGACTGTTGTGGCTGTGCCTGTCCAGCTGCTTGGCCACCAGCCTGTTCTTCAGCCATGTTCATTGCTTGTGTTATGGCATTCATAACAATCAGTCCAAGGGGTATCAGGTACATCCACTGCCATTAGAGGGATATACAAAATCCGGTAAGAATATATCAAAATTTTAAGGGGTTATAGAGAATAATTATTCAGGTCATTGGAACTCACATATTTTGCCCAAAAGGACTTTTCAGGTGGCTTTACATCTTCCCCTTCTCCAGCCTCACCAACAAGAATGTCATCAGCAAATACAGGAGTTCTGTGGAAACCATTGAATATAAACTTGAGCATAAGGTGTGCTAAGATATATTTATATGATTCTAGAAAGCATTATGTTAGCTATCTTCCTTCTCAATCTATGACACACCAAAATACAATATAGATGATGCAAATGGAAGCCTTGTTTATTTCAGCTTCACGATGTGGAAAACAAAGAAATGGGTTTTCACAGGCTGAGATAATTTCTTCTCCACCAGATTTACAAGATCCAGATGAGATTTTGTATGTAAAAGAGAAGTTGGGGGATGAGGGTGCTGATTTTTTGTAATTTTGGTTACAAAATACAAATGGAAAGAAGTGTTTTTGGTTGCATTGGCTCATTGTCCAGTCAAAATCTTTGGCAATTTGTTATTCTTTTTACTCTTTTTTCTGGTAAGAAACAATTCATTGATAGTAAGAAATTACCAAAAGGGGAAGCGCTAATGCAAATGAGTTACATAAGATTTCTCCAATTGAATAATAGAGAATAAAAACTATACCAATGAAAGAGGCGAACATTTACACCAAGTAATCACCAAGGAAACAATGGCATAAAAAAACAGCTGAAAGAAAGTTATTTTCCTTTAAAGATTCTATTCTTTCCACGTAACCCATAGGAATGCTATCACAGAATTCATCTGAAGAAGCTTCTTTTCCTTTTTGGGAGGGTGATTACCAAAAACAAGAGAAAGAGAGAGGATCATTGGATCATTTGAAAGGGCCTGTACCATCCAAACACTGATAAGAAAAGCTCACAGGTGGCATAGATTTGCTAGTGTTTCAGGGCTATTCTTGCAAATGAAGCACCATTGTGGAGAGATACTCGTAAGGCATCCTTTTGGACCGACCTTGTCATGCTTTGGCAATTCGTTTTTCAATGTTTTATTCTAGCCTCTTGCAATATTTACAAATTTGTTTGGATATTTTGTTTCCTTTTCACTCCCACGAGTTTGTATTTCTAAGTATTTTTCTATCTTCTAGTCCATCAATAAAAAGTTCTTTTCTATTAGGGGAAAAAAAAATCACAAGTGGAAAGGAAAATAAAAAGGAGTGCAGTGAGGTTCAAAAAAGCCTAAAAGAAGAAGCAGCAGTTCTGAAGCTTTTGTTCTGTTTTGGTGGTCTAAGGTTTGGGAGGTTGGTGGTTAGAAAAGGTGTTTAAGCTTCAATCCAGACCCTTCCTCGGCATTCTTCTGGTTTGGGTTTTATTGTTTTGTTTGAAGTTAGCTTTCTTGGTTCAGCAATTCGAAGGTGATGCCTTTTCTTTTCTCCAGGTTTTGCACCATAGATCTTTGGCGATTTTGATGGCGTAGCTTTTTCAAGGATTCATATTACAGTGTAGCTTCAACAAAGCCGCCAAGTAAAATCATAAAACTAAGCTCGACTTGAGAAAAAGGAGTAAATGCAAAAACATACCTAGGAGCCTGCTCGCCACTCTTCAAAAATGTGAAAGAGTTAAAAGACCATTTTGAAGGCTGAAGGAAAGACCATCGCATGAATGTTAGTGATGGGAAGTAATAAACCAAATAAATAACACGGTTCAAGAACATTAAATATACACCATAACCATCTCCCTTATTGTATATAAATTAGCAGACTTTCAACTAAATGATTCTGAATCAGGTTAAGCTTATTTCTCAAATTAGTGCCATGTCATCAGATGATTACTATGCAATGATCTTTAATACTATATATACATTAAGTCCATAGTCAGCTCTTACATACATTTTCCAAGTGAACCTAGGAACATTTAAATCCTGTGGGAGACACCAACCAAGCCCTTCCAGCCGAAATAGACTCATCAATTCCTCCCAAAATGCTTCTCTATACCTAGAAGGACTACACCAACGTAAAAAAGGACAAACACCAAGAATAACCCCTTGTTAGCTTCTGTTTGTACTTTTTGCTACCTTTCTCTCCCTTTTTGGGATTGTATCTTCAACATTTTTTTGTTTATTTTCATGACTTAATGAAAAGTTCGTTAAACGAGAACGACCCCTCCAAATATCTAAAGTTTTTTTCTATTTTTTTCTTTTTCAATAATGAAAAACCAAAGATTCATTGAAAATGAACGGATGCACATTTAATAACAAGCATCCAAAGGGAGGTGTTCATAGGTTTATGTGCATCATGAAGTAAGAGAATATCCCCAGAGCCACTATCAGACTCTAAATATACCCACACCAGGCATACCCCAAAAATTGGAGTATTCTCAGCATTTTTGGGATGATCATTTATTTTAGTTGTAAATATGAAAAAAAAAATTCATCATTTTATTTTTTTAATGACTTTGTAGATTTAT